GTAGATTGATGATAGTGGTCTCTCTAAAAATACATAAGTGTGGTGATGTAAGTGCAAGGTTGGTTGGTGGGAGGGTGATTTCTATGCAATTGTAGGGAGTCTTGAGTTAAAAATGTGCCAGAGCTACATACTGTGCTGTGCCAAAGTGCTGCGAGATGTAGGAGTCTTGCATAATTACTTTATTTACAGCAAGGTTGATTCATGACTACCACTACTTGTTGCATTTTGAATGGAACATGAAAACTATGCCTGTGTTCTTGTGTCTGTAATTATTGCTGTGTATTACCAAATGAGTATCTGCCCCTTGCACAGAGAACTTGGCAAGGTTATGCTGGGTATTTTGGGATGACTATGTGATAATACAGGATTTCTTTTTTTTTTTGTTATAGACCCTAAAGCGACAGAGCCAGTTGGCACTCTATTTCTTTAACACCATTCTAGCTCATGGGGATCTACGAAACAACAAACTAAACCAGCTTTCAGTCAATCTCTGGAATCTTGCTCAGAAACATGGCTTCGCTGACACCAAGACTATGGTAAGGAAAACATCTTTTTCAACTTCTCGTTTGGGAAAAGGTAACGTTTTCTGGATCTGAACAAACCTAATCTCTTTACAAGTTGATCTTAAAAAAAAAAAACATAATGAATTGAGCTAAAAAAAACCCCACCACCTTGTTTTTTGAATGCTTCTTAATGAATAAGCAGCTTCTCTTATTTCAAATATTTCTTATTTCACTTTTAAATGTATTTCACACATTAAGGAACCTGGAAATGTTGGGATGCTGTAATTTTTTTTCAGTACAGAAAACTATCTTTAAGAGAAATACAGCATTTTTATTTAGTGGAGGAACTGCATAGTGTAAGCTTGGAAAGTGGGCATTCTAGAGCCTTTCAGAAAGATATACATGATAATGAACTCTGGAGTAAGAAATGCAAGTACTCATGTAGCCAGTGAATTTAGGGAAAATCATGAGAGTGTCTATTAAAACACCTTCACATAGATTAAATGATGCCTATGAAATGAGACACTAAAAATCTCAAAATATCTTTCTTGTCATACCCAGGTGAAAACGCTAGAATACATCAAGAGACGAAGCAAACAACCTGAAATGAGTCACTTCACAGACTTGGCCCTTCGGCTTCCTCTGCAGTCCAGGACCTGATGAATGCCTCTTTTCCAAGGAGTCATCTGTACAGGAGAGCATGTAGCCAAGGCCAAAAATCACTGATCTAGATTTTGACTGGAGGAGTTCAGTGTATTTTTATTTTACTTAGTGTGACAGATTTACTTGGACACAGGTAAAGGTAAAACTGTTCTGAGTGCAATAATGTAACCTGAATTTCTGTTTCCAGTTTTACCACTATATTCTTATCTTAAATGCTGATTTACATTCAGTAAACGGTATTTTGAACCTCCATGGTTGCAAAAGCCTTTCGAAATCTAATCTGTTGTTATTTTAGCAACAAAGGAAGAAGATAATCTGAAGGGGTCAATTCACAGCCTCCAAACTTCATCCCACTGGCAGAATAGTCTTTCTTCTGTGTAGAAAGCAGCATTTCAATATAATAATCCTACTAAGTCGTCTTTCTGCTTTGGGATGCTGCCAACATTTGTTTGGTGAGTTCCAGTAGAAGAGAAAAATGGCCGAGGTGTTACTGTTCTAATTTCTACAGTACGTTTTCAGACATGTTTATGCTTTCATTTTAGTTCAATGGTGTTTTGTAAAATGGAAGGAATCTTTAAGTGCTGTCTGCAAAGGAAAATGGAAATGTATGCAAAGTAGTCTATATTCGCAAAGTACACTATCACCAAATAAAACAATTTGCAGTTCATCTGTTTGTTCTGGAGGAGTTTCTTTGTGTATATACATTTATCACCTTATTCTTGTGGACTTGTTACATGTACTGCTATTACACCTAATAAAATTTCACTCTCCACTTCTGTCCCATGGTAAGGAACCATGTTGAGACCTGGCATCTATTGCTGCTTTTGCTTAGTGGTAAGTATTTTAATACGCTAAATCCTTAAATGGATATTAAGATATACTTTTGCACAAAAATATTTCATTTTGTTAAGCATTCAGTTTTCCTAGAACCATTTATTTAAGGCGTTAGAAAGCTGATAATAAATACCACCCAAATTATTGATCCATTCTTGTCACATGTTTTTCATCTCCTCAGTGGTTATTGAAGCAGGGAACATCTAAAATACGTATTTTGTGTGAAGGTTGTAAAGAACTGAACTAGGACCCTTTGGTCCTGGTACAGACTATATATGTAAGCTGAGTAAAACTGCAGGAATACAAGGTAATTATGAAGTGGTATCAACTTGATACAGAACCTTTCCAACCTTTAGTACATAGCTATTTTAATTATACTGATTTTCCTTAAATAAATCTGTATAAAGTACACAAATAATGAAATGATAGTACTGTGTATGTTATCATGTCTCACTTTAATTTACCTTTCCTTCTTGCTGCAGCTGCACAAAACAACTCTCAATAGCACGTAGATGATTCTTCTTCCTGTTGGGCTTGGAAACATAAACCACGAACTGGGTAAGTGGGATTAAACTCTGAGCTCTCTAAACCGCCAAGTAGGTCACACTAAGCAGCTGTGGTATGGCAGAAATTGCCCTCTGGGGGCAAATGTACTGCTCTAAACCTAGTGTGGAGTTGTTCCAGGTTCTGTAAAATGGAAACTCTTACAGCAGGCTTACAAATGTCCCAACCATTCCTCTTCCCCATGCAGGCACTAATTTTTGCCTGTTGTCTTTTGAGCACAGTATAATTTTGGTTTCTTTATTGATGCAAGACTGCCGTGAGAAATGTTTTCAAATGTTTTACTACTGTTTTTATTAGTGCAAAAATAGTTCAATGACAGGCAGAAAGCTCTGGTTAGTTATCAGGCGCAAACTTTAAACATCTAGCTTAGAAGCCACCACAACCACTCTAATAAACTGCTTTTGGCATACTTCCATGTTAGAGCAAAATTAAGCACTCTACTTATTATAGACCTCTTCTTTCTTCTGTATATAGCAAATATACAGGCCAGACCAAGTTTGTCTGCTTGAAAAAAGCTGATAGTTTTTTCCCCAGGCATGTGTCTTGTTTTTCACACTACGACATTTTCATGTGTGCAGTATTATCAAGAGCAAGGTGCCAGGCCATCCACAAAGCTATAGCCAAATGAAATGCTGGTATATGTTATGCAATTCTAGACGGGGAAAAAAAAGAGTCCTTATCCAAAGGCAAGGCTAGGACTAATATCACCATCAGCATCTTCATCGGTGGCTGTGCAAGACCAGTCACTATCCATGCAAGACTGGCTCCACAGCAGAAAGCTGTACATGCTGTCCCTCTCCGCCTAAATGAAGTCACTAGTTGACATTTTCCTACCTTTTCCTTTATTTTAACCCATTTTTTTGCCAGACAAGTAGCTGAGGGCCTGAATTCAGCATTTGTCTTAAATCAGAAGGGAAAACAGAACTTCCACTACTTAAGTAAAGCAACAGCTGAAGCCTAGAAGGGCTGGCTGAAGCCAGTCACTGAGCTTTGAGAGCACTGGGGCAAAACAGACTCACCCTGAGGTAGTGGTGGTTTTAAATGACACTTTAAAGGGGATGATTTTCTCAAAGACAAGTTCAGATCCTGCAGGAAGTGGTTCAGCATCTCCCTGTTCCCAGGTATGGGAATGGATTCATGGAAACCCCTTAAGCTGGAGCCTCTGCATTTTCACTTCTCCTCAGCAGTTGCCCTAAATGCATTGCAACCAACTGCTGTTTTGCTAAGAGTATGTTCTGCTGGGGACAGCTGCTTTCAGGTAGACCAGTCCACTGGGGAAAACTATTGTGGAAAGTGAGGTTGCCTTAAAAGAGCAAGAAATTTAGTAGTTCAGTTGTCATGATCTTACCGAAAAGGATAGGTAATTTGGCAGAAAAACAATCAGCTGGATAAGCAGAGATAGTAACCTAATTGGAGGGGGCTGGGGTTCCCCTGCAAGTCGGCCACTATTACGCTACAGCAGGCATGGACATAAGAGATGGTCACCTTGTTCTGCTTAAAAACCAAAGCTGCACTAAAACTTAACAACAGTCTGCCATAACAAATAGCACAGCCAGTAATAAAATACATGACAGTTTTTCACTATCTTTTTGTAACTTCAAGCAAGACACTGACAGACTGCTTTGGACCCCTGAATTCTGAACATGATGTACACAAACGCAGTCTCATATTTTGTACTCTTATTAAAAAGCCAGTGAAAGTGCTGGTTATCTGAAAATCTGAAGGTTAGAAATTTTATTCAGATTGATGTATAATGAACCCAATAAGCCCATTAAATTACCTCGCTTTCTATAATTTAGAAAGTCTAGATCCATATATTCGGTGCCGCTTTCCACAAAGCATTTACCTTCATTTACAGATAACAGCTGCTGCTTGAAAATCCAACTGCCAGAGCATAGTTAAAATATAGAGGACGTGCAATGCTATTCATTATTATAATGAAGATACGAATATTTAAGAAACTACTTTCCTGAGTTAAGTCTCCCCTCAACAAATTTGTAAGCATACCAGTAGCGTTTCTTCAAAGTAAAACGCCATCACTTTGTACCACTCACCGAGTGTAAAAATGTGAAATTTTACAGAACACTAAAAATCTTTTTGATCACTAAGATGTAGCTAAAAATAAGTTTATGAAATCAGCGTTTAGAAAAAAATTTCCTAAGTTTCAACTTGTTGCAGGCAGTGCCCACATATCTTCAGTCTTTGAAAGAGGCTGTCTCTTGCCTTCTAGAAAACATCGTAAAGGTTTTAAAAACTTACTGTTTAGCTGAAGTGAGGACCCAGCTCCATGTAATCTGGCGTATGCAGTTGAAGTACTAAAAGTACTTCATAAATCATATTTCTTAAACTTTCTGTATTTTATTTCAAGTAAAAAGATGTGGAAAGTAAAAAGAAATTTGCCTGTTGAATTTTGATTCCTTTTATTACTTCAGAGTTTTAATCTTCAAATTTTATAGATCTGGATGTATATTTGTCTATGTATACTTTTTTGTTGGCAGCAGGTTGAAATCCAAGACCAATTCCTCTACGTTGCTTCAAGTCCATTGCTTTATCAAATTCCATCTTCAGAGCCTGCTGTAACTTCTCCTGCCCTTCCCTGTTCAGAGCCATGTTTGGTTTGTTTGTAGTTGCTGAGAGATTTTGGATAGGCACAGAGCCCTTTTTAAAGCCACCCATCAGTCTAAAAAACTTCATTTTTTCCTCAGAACTTTGAAAAGCAGCTGTACTCCACTGGCCGAACTTTGTATCCTGTGAAGCAAAACAAGGTTAATGCTAAAATTAAATAATACCAAGACCAAAGAAGATAATTTCTGACTGTGTACCATGAGAATGGAACCAGCTACGAAGACCTGACAGGGCTGACAAAGCTAGGAAGCAGTTATTCCACCGGTAGTACCTCTCAAAGGATGTGATAAAAGAATGCCATAACCCTGCATGAGTGCATCTTCATTAGCATTTCAGTTCATTTAACCTGGAGAGAGTGTTTAATGCACTTTCAGAATCTTCTTTCCCTCTGTCTTTAGGAATCTTTGCTTTTCTGCTCTCTGGATAATACTTAACCTAGCTCAAAGAGCCAGACGTTGCCCAATCATTTCTCTTAATTCTAAGACAACTGTCAGACTTAATCCTCTCTCACTGTGTCACTTTGTATGGTTATCTTTTCATTTTCCTACTGCCTAGTTAGGTAGTTGTTTCCAGCAGTGTTTTGTTATGTTAGTTTTGGAGACAGTGTTCAATCTGGCTTATATGCTTTAATTAATATTTGCATTCTCATCCCACTAATCACCACTAATATTGCAAGGGTGCAAAATCTGAGGGCATACCCTTACCCAACAGGACTAGATATAGCACTCTTAAAGCCTCCCCTCCCTCAGAGTTTGCTGTATTCTTTGTATTCACTGTATTCGTCTCTCACTGTATTCTTTGAACTATTTCATTCCTTCAGGATTTTTCTTTTGTCTGCAGATACTGGCTCCTTTCTGAGGATATAGGCACTGTCCAAGTAAAATCAGAATTCAGCAGTTTGTGGATAACCCAAGATACATCACATGATTTACAAAGTTTATGAACTTCTGGCTTACCTAAGATCCTTAGATAACTAAGCCTGTTCTTATTTGACTTGAGCTATAGCTAGGAGCTATGCAGTCATTTATAACTATTTTTGGCAGGACTGCTACTCCCAATTTTTTCTTTAAAATTGAGGGTGATCCTAAACGGAAGAATGTTTGATCATTAAATAGACTGAGCTGGCTACATCAAAAGAAAAAATATGAACTTAGTGGTGCATTTATGTTAGCCTGAAATCCTTCCAACTGAACAGTTGTAGCTTGCATGAAACAGTCGTTCTCCACTAGACAGCCAACATGACAACACAGCCTGCTACACAATATTGCAGACAAGCTGTAGCAGGTTTTTTTCACTTAAAAAAAATGCAAGGCTGGAGTATCATTCACTATCACAGGCGAGAATACCTGCTATTAAAAGAAAGCTATCCATAATACTTCAGTATTTTTACCTTGCTCAAAGACAAGTTGCTGTATAAGCCCAGGTCTGTGACACAGACGCACACATACATACACATAAATATATGTCCTCCCTCTGGAATGGGAGACATCTGCACAGATGCAAAAATAATTATGGCTTGTCAAACACTGTAATTTTTTTTTAAGTGAATTGCTGGCAGGCACTACACATAGCTTTCACTGCAGCATTTCAGTCTTTGTGAAGCTGATGACTTAGTTTTCATAGCTTCTATTCTTCTGCATGCTACTAAACAGACACAGATCAGCACCAAAGAACTGAGATCCCCTGCCAAGGATGTCATTTTTCTCAATGACTGCAGAGACTATTAGATAGTTGCAGTTCCACAGCTATTGTAGTCTGCCTCCCACTATGTAAAAACCTACAGGAGTTGTTTCTGGCATTTGTTCGAGGTATATTCCAACTTTCTAGGCATATTGGCAGTCTTGCAAAACAACAAAGAACCCTGAATTACTAGCAAAGCTTTCTCTCCTCCTGAATCTTATTACCCCTGCTAAACCCCTAATCATCTTTCCAAGAGGTGGAGGAAAGATGTAGAAGTTAGGAGAGGACTGACTGTAAATATCACACACGTGTTATCAGTTGTCATCCCTTTTACCTTTCCTTGTGCACCCATTTCTGAATGTCTGCAAAGTCTTCCAGATAACAATGCAGATAGAATTCAGTGACTGCTATATCCATAGCCTAGAATTATTTATATTTCACAGTAAGCAGAAAATGCTTCTGTAGCAATTTGTCGTGGCTCATTCCCCAGAGGAACCAGAGAAAACGCTGCTTTTGAGGACCAATGATGGGAATTAGAGCACTGTACAATGCCAACTGCTGTTGGGAGTTCACTGGTCAGCTCCCAGACTCTCTTGGTATAGTACTAACTTGTTCTATAGCATGACCTTAAAATTTACAGTCAGAAGGAAGACTGTTGTGCCAAGCTATGAACCTGACCCACATACAAAAAAAGAGTGCAGTGCTTTTTTCAGGAACGTACTCTGAGACACAGTAGTTCATCAGATCAAGGTCTAAGTTCATACATACCCGTTCCACTTTGGGACTGAAAACCTTAGTTTTGCCAGATTCTCTATCAATTTCTTCTTGCAGAGCCTGCCGCCTCACCTAATGTGCAGAAAAAACAGCACAAGACACTATCTTCCGAGTGTTAAATGACAATTAATTTAATTCACAATGAAAAGGGAAGAACAAAATAATTAGTTATCTTCAGAATTTTGCAAGGATAATTAAAAAGTTGCATGTGATCCTTTCACACACTTAACACAAGAACTGTCATTTTTTTAGTGGTATTTTAAATGAACATTTTGCTGTATTAGATATGTTTAATCTTCTAACTGCAGGTAACAGCTATGCTGAAATTGCCAAAGTCGATGAGAGACAAAGAAACCTGTATTCAACCAATAAGCTACTTAGAAACTTCTGACATTGACTGGAGCTGTACATTTTGGACTTAGCCCATGGAAGGTAAAGCACATTTTAAGCAGAGCTCTATTTAGGGAAATCTTAGCATAGATGAGCAAGAAAGCAGGTTTTCTGTTATAAATTTTATGCATACATTTAATGCTGACTTGCTTTAAATCTTACACAGCTAAGACAAAGCATACCTTGTCTATGTTAACTTCATCACAGTTTCCTTTTTTTTCCTGCACAATAGTTAAATCATCCACACATTCCTGTAAAACAGGAAAAAAGCTTATATGAATATTTTTATTCATTCTGGTTAATTAGAATTTACACAGCTCTGACCACCAAAGTAGTAAAAACACTAAACAACGCAGTAGTACTGTTCTGGGGCAAGAAGAAATAGTCAGATCTAAGCTGGAAATGCCAACTAAACCTGTGTATTTTTGTGGAAAGCCTTTCTCCCCAAGGAAGAGATCCTTTTTTTAATGAAGATAAGGCATATTTTTTTAAAATTCACACATTAAAATGGACATGCCAACACCACTGGCACATACAGTAATGTTTACAGACAGGGTCATTTCAAATTAAACCATCTCATAAAAGTTTAAATTTATACTTGAAATAAGGGACAGAAAGTGAAAGTTAAAATAAAAAATAAAATTTGGTGGTAAGATTATGGCCCCTCTGAAGGCACAGGACAAGCTTGAGGCATGTTTATCCCACTAACCACCAAAACAAAAAAAAAAAACACACCACAAAAACCTAATCAAGAGGCAGCTGCATTGTGCTCCATCTTCCACAAATGCAGAGCAGATGATGGTCCTGAAGGGAGCTCCCAGTCTGCAAAGACTCAGGGAGAGGCATGATACATACGTAAAGTGCCTCCGACAATGGCAGCAAACAGCACGTTAGTCCCACATTTGAGAGTGAGGAACGGGTTGCTGATGTGAAAAGACAGAACAGTTACGGCAGGAAGGGATGGGATAGCAGGAGGTAAATCACTGGCAGAGTCCACGAGCAGCCAGATACTGATAACTTTTCCACAAATTGCCGCCCTTCAGCAGCTTTTGCTCCCATTGACTGGCATTTCTAGATCATTGCCCTCAGCCTGCCTTTTCCAAATTTGTAATAAGGATAAGATTTTTGGGCATCCAGTGTAACAGCGTAAGTAGTAAGTCCAGAATGGTGGTAAATTAGAGCCATAAGCTTTAGACCAGCCTGGAAAAGGTGGCCAAAGGGAAGATCTATTGATACAGCTGACATAATAATCCAAGCATGAAATAGCGAGGGAGCACGAAGACAAGGAAAAGATTTGTCACATACTTCTGTCAGCAGAAGCTGCTGTTACTTTTTTGAGGGTTTACAGTTTTATTTGAAGCCATGAATGATTTACCTCGTTTTCCAAAACCACCTTTTATACATTGATTTCACACACACACATACATACATCACTAAAAATGCGAGAACACTGTCTGCAATAAGGAGAGCTCATTCTCTTGGATGAAAAGAAAAAAAAAAATCAAAACAACAAAAAAAGCAAACCAATTTACTTCTAGATGGCCTGGTACTGTCTTTTCAGATCTATTAAAACAAGCAGGAAAAATGTCATGACAGGATTCTGCAAACAGCTGCAATTTTTTTAAATTTTTTTTTTAGCTGGAAGGTGAAGTGCAGACAATGAAGGAGGAAGGGTGCACCCCCATCCCTGCTAATTCACAGCAGATCGCTGACCTGCTGAAGGCTACTTTGTGGCAAAAATTACCCCCTCTGGAGGTATGCCAGTCTTCCCCCAACATCATGGAAGGGGAGCACATTCATATATGGTAGGATTATACTATCTGCAGGCAGACAACTTCAAAGAAGTAAACTGAGTCCTCCTCACCCTGCCCAAGTTGACTGCAGTGGCATCCAGTAGGAGAAACATCAATTACTGATATTAAGCGGGTATCACTCCACATTGTCTTTAAAAACTTAACTCTTTGGCTTGCTGCAGAAGCCCAACAGGATTTTTCAAGGCATGCAGCAGTGTGTGTGCGACACACTGTAGACTAGAAAATGTTTCAGGACTATGGCACAGTTAAATGCAAGACCAGTCTTTTCAGCCATTGATTACAGCAGTGTCTTTTGGCCTGGCAGGAACTAGATTTCTCTAGAACTGATTTACCCAGACTTCTCAATCTTCAGGAGAATTTCTGTGAAGTACTTTTTATTATTAAAGGACAGAGCTGAATATGGGAAAGAGAAACACAACATGCATCACCCTACACCCTTCTCAATTGTTTGCAAGGTATTTGCTGTGTTTTCCATTGTAATCGGTCATGCAAGTTTACTTGTCTTTGTTAGGCTTATCTGGCCCCCACAGAATGTAAGCAGCTGCAAGAATCCAAATAACATCTAACAGTCTCAAAAAGGCAATGTCAATTTAATTAGAAAATATATCCCGGCAATAAAACCACCTTGTCCTTTGAAAGGTCAAAAAGAGAAACCTAAGTAAAAAGCTCCAAATATCTGCTCACCTAATGACTGATAAGCATACACACTCCCAACACAAACCTGTGTGGAAAAAGCCTGTATCTGGCTCTCAATGAAGGCTGAAGCACCTGCTTATATAAATCTATATTTAATTATTAGCACTAGACACCAGAAAGCTGCCAGGTTTCCACAGAACATGAAGAAAATGCATATCTGAGTGCATACAAAGCAAAGGACACCATGAAGTGTGCTTGAGAGGCAGCTGGTGCTATGGCCTGCTCTATCCCTAGTTTACAAAATCTGTAATGATGCTTTATTACCTAGTGCTTGACTTCTAAGCAAGCCAAGCATTCAAAGTTCTTTATAAAAAAAACAACTGGAGTGCAGTTTCCCATTACCTCTGAAAATAAAAACAAGCTACTAATGACTTGCAATGAGCTGTTTTCAGTTGTTTAAGCAGCTGAAAAATACAGACAGATACCTATTGAATTTCTGAGCATCTCCCTGCGTAATTCCCAATGGTAGCAACAGAGGTTAGGCATGTAGATACTGACTTTAGGCACTTAAATAGCTTTAAAATATGGCCCTAATCAGCTAAAAAAAGTTAAAGCAATAAATCCAGATCTTAATAGTCCAATTTTTGAAAAAAAAAAAAAAATCAAAGAAGAAACCCCTGTATTTCAAATCTTTCATCAGTTCCTCTCCGTTTGTTTCACTTCAGAAATGGCAGTACTGCAGGACTCTGGCATGGAATTTCCTTTAACAGTCTGGATAGAATTCCAGTTACCTTCAGTAATCCTTTACACAACTCTTCTATCTATTTATTTTCTTGCATAGATTTATTTTCTTAATTAAGAATTTGTGTTTAGGTAGTTCTGTAGTATTTTTCTATCAGAATTTATACATCAATGTTCTCGGCCTAGTCTACACTTGGGATTCTTAGGATTTTCTCTGAAGTTTTGTCCAAGTTAGACAACAGGTTTTGGCTAAATTTTGCCTTTGTTTCTAACACTATGCAATTCCAGCATTAACAGCAGCAAAAGCTTGAGGAGAAGTCTTAACAAGCACAGTTAAGTGCACTCATGCTGCCAGGGTTACCAACCCAATAAGGTTAAATGACATGGTATTAAAATTCTGTTTTATAGGAGTGTTGCCACTTTGCTAAGAGCAACTGAAGGAGGGAGAGAAGAACATTTATGACACTATATACTAGTTTTCTTTTTGTGCCAATACTTGCTGTTAGTTGTAATATTTACATTTTCACAATTGAAACACTGGATGACTACAGCAGTAGGCATTAAAAAAAAAATCTTCCCATGTTTCACAACTATTATGTGCTGAAATCAACAGATCAGCTGATCCTGCTTCTCAAAACCCAGAGGAGGCCCCTGTTGACCTAAATGTAACCCAAGGGTCTGAACATGCAGAAAACAGCCTGCAAAATAGGAAACTGTCTACCTAAAAAGCTTTCAATTCCTTATCAGGAGGGTGCAGAGAGACCCTCTTCTTTACAACTTACCAGTGCCTCATTTCCCTTGTCTTCTCTTTTCATCTTTTTCTTTTTTGTATTGGCTTTTGAACCTGGTTCTTCAGCACAGTCCTCTGGTACTTCTTTTTTTCTTTTCTTCCTTTTTCTGTCAGAGAGCATATGATTACTATTGCATAATACTCCATCTACAACATCTCCTGTGACACATCCAGCTCGCTTCATTTTGCTCTCTTTGTTCTTTTTATTGCTTTCTAGTAGTGTTATTTTTTGGCTTTCAGATGCACTGTCATTGTTTAAAGAAACTTTTGAACATGTTGTTTCCTCCTCCTCCTCTTTCTGAGTCTTCTTTTTTTTCTTGATGACTTCATTATTATCCTTGATATTCTTCCTGCTTTTTTTTCCAGAAAGCTCTTCCTCCTCAGACTCAACTTCTTGCTGTGCTGGGAGATGCTTATCAGGAACACTGTGACTGTAGTCTTGATTATCTTCACATGTTAAGGAAGAAACATCTTTGGTTCTCTTCTTCTTCCTCTCAGTCTCTCTGATCCTTCCAGAGTTCTCAGTAGTGTCCTCTTCCTCTCTATTTCTCAATGTAATTTCCTGGGAATTCTTTCTCTGCCCTCTTCTGAAGTCACTTAATGCAACAGGGCTATCGGGAACTCCATAGATGTTGTCCTGATTATCTGCTAGTGGTAAAAAGGAGTCTGACTTATCTTTCTTCTTCTTCCTCTTCTTTTTTCTCACATAACTCTCCCCACTGTTCTGCATAATATCTGTTCCGTGGTTTTCGCCCATAAAAGCTTTTTCTTGTGAAATGTATTTGTGTGGTTTTTTACAAACTTTTTCAGACTGTTTATGTTCACTGTCCTGGATGTCCTCTAATGAAAAAGAAAAAATGTGTTTCTTCTTTTTTTTCTTAGTTACTTCACCATCCAATTCCAAATTCGAAGCAGTATTCTTTCTGCTTTTTTTAAAAGCAAATTCATTTTCCTTAATACCATCTGTATGATGATGTGAAAGCTCCACATCACTACTCTGTTTATTCTCCAATGATAAGGAGGAATGACATTGGACTTGTTTTTTCTTCTTTTTGAGAATTTTAATTTGTTCCTCTGATTCTTCTTGAAGTTCTGAATCCAGATGGCCTTCTACATTCACAAAGCTTTCTGAATGTGCTTCTTTCAGCAATTCAGAGCCAACTTTCTTTTTCTTGTTTTTCTTCTTATTATTCTTCAGTTCTAATTGGTCTAAATATTCATCTTCTTTTAAATTTTCCTTTTTCATTACTTTTGTTTTTGTCTCCAGCTGGTCATCATCCTCAGTTTTAATGACAGTTTGAACATCTTTCTCAATTTTAATGACAGTCTGGCTCGTACTACTTTTCACCTTTTTCTTTTTGTGTACACGTTCCTCATGAACCTCTTTTCTCTTTTTCTTTATTATCATTCTAAAAAATGAAATGAAGATGTTAGTGCACTGCTACAACAAGAGGATGCAAGTCCTAGTCTATTTGGTGTTCCTTTATTCTGAAACCATTCCATATCTCTCATTGTCCCCAGCCCTCTTTTTCCAATTTCACAATCTGCTTTCTCTGATGGGGGGGAACCAGAAGTGCATGCAGCAATACTGTCTACTGGAGTGGTTTGTGGGTGATTTTTTGTCTTGTTCTTTAGCGCTGTCCTAGTTAGTTTGTAACTTTCTATTCATCTTTTTGACAGCTGCCAAGCATGACATTTTCACAGAAGTATCTACCTTCTAAAAATCTTTCCTAAATGACAAAACACATACTTATTGATTTACATATATATGCATAGTTAAGGTGGCTTTCCACATATGTATGACTTCTCACATTTTCAACACTGAACTTAACATCACTTTATTGCCCACTTAATATTACAAGATCCTTTCAAGGCACCTTAGTTATTACCTTGAATTTGCTTCTGTTTGCTATTTCTTATCATTGCTCTCCCGTTTCCTTTCTCGGGCCATTTATGCCTATGAACAGGTTACAGCAGAGAAGCCCTTGATACCCACCTGGTGACACTCCCTGCCTTTGCTGAGAATCCCATTTATTCCTACTTGGTTTCCCGTCTTTTAATCAGTAACTAATCCACAGGATTTCTTTAAGTGCCTCTTGCAAGGCACCCTGTCAAAGTCCTTTAAAAAAAAATCTTAGGTATACCATAGTATACCTGTATCTGCTACCTGCATGCTTGTCAGGGCTTTCAAATAAAGCCAGCACGTGTGTGTGGCCGCCGCCGCGGCCTGCTCCTCCTGCCCTTTGCTGC